CGTCCATATTGAAAAAAAAGTACAAATATTCACTGAATGGTATGTCAGGAAAAGAGTGCAACTGCAGGAAGACCTCTCTGCAGTAACATGAAAAAATCCCCGAGCAAATGATGCGTTTACGAGATAAATTGGAAAAGATCAACGGGCGCAAAAGATGTCATTACCCCTAATTCATCCTGATCAAAAGTTCAAGCGACCATCTTTGCTTTTTCATATAACTTTAGCCATACCGTATCGTATGATACTTGGAAAAAACATTCTTTCAAATGGTGTCAAGAATATAAGGTCCCGTTGCATATAAAAGAAGGTATTCAGAAAGGAAAACAAAGAAAAAGTTTTGGATCATAATTAAAAAGCCGAAAGAGAAAGAAATAAAATCGATGTAAATGTAAAGAAAATCTTCTAAACACTTACTTGAGGGGAATCAGTACCAAACTTCTTCGTAGTAGTCCATGGACAAACTGCTTCTGCTCCCAAAATATCTACGAGGGTTGCTAAAGCTCGGAGAGATGACGATACTAGACTACTATTACTATCGTGACATCCTTGCAGCACCTTCAACAGAGTTTATTAATCACAAAAAAGGTTATATCACTCAAAATCTCAAACCTCATCCGTTACAAAACCTCCAAGACGATCATGAGGAATATAGGTGGCAAAGCGACTAAATTGGGAAAGAAGCGCAATACGAACAGCAGCCTCTCTAAAATATTTAGTCGACAGAATATTCTGAGAAATAATGCCTTAGACTACCTGACACGAAACAGACGAAGCAGCTCTGGTACCATAAAGGCATCATACAATTCACGAGAGAGGATACCCTCATTTTCATCTTGAAGCTGTGATGTAAGTTTGTTAACAACTGATACAAAGATAGCTGTTACCTGCAGGAGTGAGCAAAAAAGGATAAAGGTCGGAATGCGACTTAGGTTCAAGTAAAACGTAACGGGAGAGAAGAAGACGACAGAGTCTTTTTGCCATCACTTCTCCAGGAAGGGATCGCAAGCGACGAACAATGCTTCTTAATAAAATAGTTCTAAGTAAACCAATTCTAAAAGTTACAAGATTTTTAAAACGATTTTACCAATGAACTTGAGAACGATAGGGCTACTGCAAAAATCACCTCTAGAAAATTTGAGAACAACAAAAAAGGAAGAACTGACTCATAAAAATCCTGTTTTTCCTCACTCTCTCGCAGCTGAATGGTACTGCAAAAGTTGATTAATTCAGTTAAATCATTCTTGAGGGCGGGATGATCAAGCATAGCGGATAATGAAAGCTTGACAGCTGTATCAGACGTTGTTAGCTC